TGACAAAGCATATAATTGATTTTCTTTACTTTTCCTTTCCTTTAACAAACAACTTTTCCAACCATTAAGTTTGTATTGATAGCATTTATCAAGGGTCTTGTTTGCCTTGACGGACGAGTCGGCTACCTTGATTCTTGCCCTTCCCAGAATAATAGCAAATAATGCAACGAATTCAGCATAACATCCTGGTCCTCTTTGTGGCTTTACATTTCAGATTGTCAATGTTGTTGTATTAGAGAATCAGCTCGGATCTATAACACTATTGACATGACTAGAATTTCCACCCCACTGTGATGGATCACATTCTTGGTCGAATGTAAGATAATCTGTATGTGTCTGCAGGGTCTTACTGGGGCGAATCAGTAATTAAGAAACGATTTAGAGCAGGCTAGGAGAAAAACAGGAAGGTTTCCACGGAGGAAGAGGCTGTGCCGATCACATATTCACTTTATGTGGCATAGGCCTTTTCTACGAGCACTTCTAATCCAAAATCATTCCTCTCGTGATACGCTCTCGGAGGCATTTACTGTTAAAGGAGCTGTGTCATGAAATTCAGCCAAATTTGGAAATTACAAAATGCCCGTTAAATTAAGAGAAACGTAAAAATAACCGCTTAAAACTTTAAAGGAAGGTTAAAATAACATAACAGAAACAAGAGATGTCAGGGATGGGCAAAACTGAAGAAGATTGAAACGGAATGAAATTAGTATTTTTGAAAACTGTTCAGCCTAACAGTTTTTCAAAGTTGATCCCTGCTGCTTGCAACTTCAAGAATAATGCTCATGAGACATAATGAACTGGACTGCCGTGACACAACCCTTTTAACTTTGGAGTAAGGTGGTGTCGAACGGTTAAATTCTCTGTTTCTAGTGTTGTTCGTTGCCAACTCTGAGAGACACAAGTCAACAAAGTATACATGTACAGTTGGATCTTCTGTGCCTATCCACGGCATGGCATCCAGAATCCATGACTGTGTTGGTTTCCCTCACATGGCGATGTTCTCACCCTTGCTATGGAACTCGAATTCATTGATGACTTCAGTATCTTTATTTGGGCAGCGGTATTAGCAATGAAGATGGCTTTCCGGGAGATATTAATAAGGTAAGCTGGGAAAGGCCTCAGGGGTATTTAGTTTACCAACAGACAAATCTGGAGGTCAAAGCAATACAGCTTAAGCTAGGATTAGTTCAATCGGTTCAACAGCTGCGTGACCTCGGCGTTTTTATTTATGCCAGCAGTATTGGAGAGTGGCGAAGAAAGATGTGAGTTGAGATGAAGCTTTCCATAAAATATAACGGCTAAAGACGAAAAATAATTAATGGTGACTGGAATGAGAAAACAGGCTGTCATGCATAATATGGCAGGCTGTTCAAACCTCAATTTCTCTTCCAGAGTCAATTCTGGAACGTACTGTCTAGAGGGATTCATAGGGTTTCTCGCGTCTCACTACGCGCAAAAATTACACGATTGACATCTCATTTCGCTTCAAAAGGGTGCTACGCGATTTGCACATTTGTTTCACACAGTAACATTAAACCCACCGTCGACAAGAATACCCGGGGGGGAGGCACTTGGGTATTTTTTGGGTGGGTATGTGCCGCCCGGGACTCCACTAAAATTGATGCCCCGTTCTAGAAATGGGCCAATTTTTCATACCCCGTTCTAGGATTCGCCCGAAAGCTGATACCCCGTTCTAGAAATGAGCCAATTTTTTATACTCCGCTCTAGGGTGCAACAAGAATACAACAGTTTGCTTGTTAACGCATCGTACCGTATTTTTAAAAGCAATCTGTCCTTGAATAATTTCAAATGGCTGGTTACAAAACTGGAGCTTTCGTGCGTTCGAAATATTATACCCCGTTCTAGAAAACGCCTCTGAAATGGATACCCCGTTCTAAACCAGGAGCTTCAAAATCACGACCCCGTTGGGCGGCACATACTTGTATAGGCAATGTATGGGAGGGAGTACCCCCCGAGCAAGAATATAAGCTAGCTAAATGTTCAATTGGTAACGCTTGATGTAATCCTGGGCTTACGAGTTCAAACATCGGGGATTATAGCTCTAAAACGTACAGTTCAGAAGAATTTATAGGGTTTTTCACTTTTCAGCACACGCAAAAGTTACACAATGTATATTTCTTTTTGCTTCATGCGAGTGATACGAAAGCCTACAAGCTTATCTTCACACAGTGGAACCTCCCGGTGCACGTTACCCGTCTGCCCATATTTGGGGTTTAAGATTCGCGGGTAGTAGCTCGCAACTCTATTTTAGCTGAGAAATTGTCTTCAAAATTACGGTTTTTTAAAAATACAATTCGATTATCAATAAGCAAAAGAGTTCTAAAAAGTCGTCTTTCCTCTCAAACGTGGGATTGTGATGTTTTAAACCTTGCGGTAGATCACTTCCCTCTGGAGCCAGCCGTACAAACGTGAACCTCAAACCGCAAACCTGACGGCAAGGTCCTGGTCACGTGACTTCTTGACGCTCGCGGTTGTCGAGAAATGCTGAAAAACCTCAATCTTAAGATCCCTATTGTCTTGATTCTTTCATCTGTAACGGACGCTAGATATAAGTCGCCTAACCTCGGTCCCTCAACGAAGGCTCAGTTGTGCGCCTTATTTCCCGCTCTTCCCACCTCTAACTCCCTTCTGCCGTTACACCTTCTTTTCTCCCCGTTTCCAGTTATAATGCATACCAAACATGAAAAGGCAAAACAATTAACTGGCAAACAGCATTTTTGATTATTTTTTCGCTACTGCGTCATACTACTAGACAGAGGTTTAACACGTTGTTTTCCAGTTGTCCACAGGTAGTTATATCTAAGATGGACATGTATCTTCTTTAATGTAATGTTCTTAAAATGATCTTAATAGGTCCTCGCTCCATATCCCGTGTGCAATGATGACACGAGATGGCGTCTTTTTACTGCTTAGACCTGAATTCATTTCGATTGATCCTTCATGAAAAATTTGGTAATCCCGTTGAGGTTTAAAAAAACAAAGCCCTCCTAATTTTGCACAAGAAAGGAAAAGCCTGAGGGATTCTGAAGTAAAATTACGCCAACGTACAAGAGCAGGAGGTTATTAATGCCACTAAATTGCGCTTTTATTTTTCAATGAAACTCCTATTCTAATATAGTCCAAAAAATCAGGGCTCAACCCTGTGTGGTCAACTTTCGTTTATTGAGGTCACTCTAAGGACCCCGAGTTAGTGTCCTTGATAGCAAACACAAGTCCGCAATAGGGAGGGATTGAGCGGCTGTTCATATTGCCGGGGTGCCTGTAATAGCAGGGTGCCCGCAAGGTGAGAGTTGACTGTATCCCTAGTCCTTATGTCCATTTCGCTCCCGATTTCACAGAGTGCTTCCCTGGACCGATCAAAAAATAAGGAAGCAGTTTTATACTCCGTACTTCCTACATCTTAATTATCATGCTGTCCATCGTAGTTTATTTAGCAAATGCATGCCGCTGTTAGACTCAGTAATTAGAATTAATTTCAGTTAACATAATATGTTTTGGAGTTTTTTCTAAGTTTTCATTGACCTGATTTTTTTCTTGTTTTACTCGAAAATTTCATGTAAGCGGCGCGGAGACCACGTCTCAAGCCCCGAAAGGTCTGGTTCCAAGTTAGACCTTTTTTTCATTTTGTGTTTTGAGCTAGTTGCATCGAAAAGTTTTGTAATCTGCCTGAATTAAGTCATTTGTAAAGCTTTCTTTGAAGAGTGTCATTAAAAATTAAGTCGCCATTACATAATAAAAATGTTTACGTTATAAGCACTATAATCTACCAAATGGTTTAAAAGTAGTACGTTGTCCTATCTCACTTTTTCTTTCTTTGCTAAAGTTATTATTTAGCTCTTATTAACCGAGCGGGAAGTTTGTATGGGAGAATCTTGACCGAGGTCGCCAGTACAGACCGAACGCAGTGAGGTCTGTACCAGCGACCGAGGTCACGATTCTCCCATACAGACCGACCTAGCTCGGTTAATAAGATGTTTATTATATGGCCAAACAAGAAAGCAAAGAGATGCTTCAGAGATGCTGAATGGTAGCTGTCGAGACTTTTCAAATGTTTGTGATCGCTTAGCTGTGCAACGAAGTTTGGCTGAACGTTTTGTTTACGGAGATGAAAAATTTGGACAAAAGAAGATCGAGCTCATTGGCAGGTGTGTTTTCAATTGCTCTAGACTCTTTCAGTGACTCGCAAAATTTTTCCATGCGTTTAAATCGCTCTTAGTCTTGTATTGAGTGTTTTTTTATTTCTGCTCCTGCAAATATTTCTCAATTTCGACTTCATCTTTGCTCGTAGCTTCCTCGGCAGGACTCAAATTTGCCACTGTTTGCTCGTTTTCTTTACCTGCTTCCTCGTGAAGGTCCACTGATTCTTCCATGTAGTATTATTAACAGGAACAAGCCAATTTTTTCATATTCTTTGTTTGTAACTTTTTGAGGACAACTGTTACGTCAAGATCGGTCTAGATGCCGGTCTAGATGGGAAAATCTAGACCGCGGTCAAGATCGATTTTAGCCAATCAAATTCTTGAATTTGTTTGTTTCCAATCCTTTTGAGACATGGCCATAGAATAAAAACAGATTTTGATATTGAAGTTAAAGTATAAGTAGGGTCTTCCTTTTAGATGGTTACTTTGTTTTTACAATAAAGCCTACTTCAGTGAAATGATAGAATATGTATAGACTTTGTTTGCATTTGTGTCTAGTTAGTGCCACAGTAACGGAGATAACAAGCAGGTGTACCACTAAGATAGTACACGTAATATGAACCACAATTTCTCACTTTGATGTTTGTTGAGTAATAAATGCAGTGGGAATAACCTCTAAAATACACCGTCCTGGTGACCTGACCGTCTGCTACTGAGGGGTGTCCACCATTTAGCCAGCCGCTATTATTGGTACCACACCTTTGGTAAGCTGGACATGATGTTGCCATTCTTGTGCCAGCAGACCCCTGGAAACGGAACCATCCAGGGCCAAGACTGTTATCACAATAAAAGCCGAAGCCATACGAAGTCCTTCGGGTTCCGCTGTTGAGACTCCCGTAGTTCTGACATTCTGATACAAAAGAAGAGAAAGAACATCAGTCGCTAGCAACGTTTCATTCAGTTCTACATCATCTCGATCGAAATAAGGGAATCTAAGACAGTCTTGGATTCTGGATTCCAAGCCGTGAATTCCGGATTATAGGGACTGGATTTCAGTCTTTGTCAATTGAACTTGGGTTCTGGATTTAAATCTTTAGAGGGATTACGGATTCCAAAGGCTAGGATTCCGGATTCCACAAGCAATTTTCCAGATTCTGGATTCCACCAGCAAAAATTTATTGGACTCCGGAATCCGCATTCCCTTTCATGGGGCAAGCTCGAGGTAAGAGAGGGGAACTTTTCATGTTCTAACTTCCCCAACCACATCCTCGCTGTTGACCAACAAAACCACAGGAAGAAAACACTATTACCCATCAGCAGTAGGGATTGTCATAACTTGTGCCAGTATAAACCGATGAGTTATCTCTGTTACATACGACGTTAAATTTTGACACAGGAATACATGTATGCATGTACCGCCTTTAGCTTTGCCGAGTATTTCCCAGGGAAAATAGGTCCGTGCATATATAAAAAAGTGCTTGAATATTTCAGAATTGACCATAATTAATAATTACAGGTAACGATATCAATTTTGTAATCATGAAGCTGATTCAAGGGGGTGCCAGTAAGGTTAGCAGTTATTTGATATTTGGCCAAAAAAGTAGCAGTTAACTGAGAAATGAAAATTTAACAGTTGAGTGACATTCTATTTATTGTACTGAATACGATCGTTGATTTTAATGAAAGCAACAAAGTTTGAAAAAGAGAAATGCTATTTTCTGTCTTTTTTCTGTCCCGCAGACAGAAAGCGTCTTTTACAGAGCTGGTTGTAGAAAACTCAACGAATTATTCGTCTTCTAATATTAACAAGATGTGTTCGTAAAAGGAAAATACTGTTTTCACGGACTTAACAGGTCGTCAAGTTAAACAATACTACCCTAAGTAAAAAGTTGTGACTCTTAGCGTTTGATCTGGTCAAAAAAAATTCTGATGGCTGAAAGAAATAATCATCTTTCCTTTAATTACATGGAATTTGTACTTACGAGAAATCATCTTTGTAACTGATTTTGCAGTACTAACCATTGAAATTGTTAAGTTCGTATTTAAACCTGTCTTTCTGAAACAGTTTCATTTCTTAAAACGCTTGGATATCTTTATGACGCTTTTAAAATATGCGAATAAGGTACATCTGCGAAAAAGGTAACATTGAGGAACTCGAAAGAGGATGTCGACAAAGTCTGCATGGTGTATAGAGGTACGAAAAACTTCTGACAACTCAGGTGGAAAACCTACACGCGGTTTCTCACTTCAACGCAAAACATTCAGTGCTTTGAACTACGCCCAAGACTTTAATATAATAATATAATATAATATTTAATATAATATTTGTTTATTTCCACCATTCGCAGATTTCTCTGAATTACAGGTAGGGTCAGGCAAAGCACTTACAAACATACAATTATACATATAAATATATCAATATAAAAACATAAATATAATAAAGCAGTAATATGGTAGAAATCGCATACACATTATTACACACAATCGATATACGGCGAATATTTAACTGACACGAATTCTGAGAACCGGTCAGTTCGGCCGGGTAACACATGGCCTGATGGACCTGACCTCAGTGAATACGAGGTTTGCGACGAGATGACCCTGCTGGATACTAGGCGGTAAAGCGGGCTAGCGTGCATAGTTTCTGTCACAAATTTCTTGCACGCCAGGTGGCGTCTGGCCTCTAGAGACAGAAGCCCGGCACGCGCGAGGGTGTCCTCGTAGCTCAAGTCAGGACCAAAGATGATTCGTAGGGCTCTCTTTTGCACTCTTTCTAAAGCCATGCAGAGATACTGCGGTAAATTTGCAAAAACTACCGATGCATACTCTAGAACAGATCTAAGTAGGGAGCAATACACAGCCACCAACTCCCCATCTTGCACCCCACAAGCTTTCAGTTTTCTTAGAGCATAAAGGCGGCGGTTTGATTTCTTTATATATTATATAGTCGCAATGAGTCGACCAGCTGAGGTCCGAGGAAATGTACACCCCGAGGAGCTTAAACGATTCCACCGATTCAATAACAGAACTTCCTACCGCTATTGGTTGACTGTAGCAACTATTATAATGCAAAAAATCAACCCGCATCAGCTTGCACTTACTAGGGTTATGTTTGGAACCAAAGAGAAGGAATCGGGTAAAAGAACTACGAATATGAAGTGGGCTACAGTCACGAAAAGTCGAATTGTGCCGTGTCAAATACTTTCATGCCTTTTTCAGCACCCTCAACTACTATATCTCTCCCATCGGTGCAAACAGTGACAGAAGAAGATGAAGTTGTGACGAGGGACTGGATAGAGAACTTTACCACCCGCGTCACGGGACTATGTCATGCTATTTGCTATCTTAATTAAAAAAAAAATAAAAAATAAAAAATAAAAAATTGGCATTAATCGAATTCCAAAATAAAGGTCCAGTTTTGTTATTTATAAGAATATATTTTGGCATTGATATTATTTCCCGTCGTCTGCTGCAATGGATTGCAAGGATTAAAAATGTATTGAAAAGTAAGCCAACAACAAGATACAGGACATACGGCAACCAGATATACGAGGGAAAATTGAGATACTGAAAGTGACAAAGGAAGTGACGTTGAAATAATCTATGGCAGGACATGCAAGACCAGGTCGGGAAGATCAGTACGAAATCATGACTGGTGCGTCTGGATCTATGAGGCTAGTGTCATATTGATGGCTATACGACTTAAAGCAAAAATCGGTTAACAGGGGTCTTTAAAATAGTTCTCGCTTACCCATTTTTACTGCAGTAACTTCGGTTACTTAATTTATGTAGATAATTATGTTATTTTCTATATTTTCAGTTACTTGTAAATTGTACAAGTGGCGGAGATTACACTGTTTCGTTTTCTTTTATTAGAATGTTGTTTTTTTCTGGCCCAGGCTGACTATTCTTTTTTTTTCTGCCGATTTTAGGCTTAAAATATTCTTGTATTATTCTTAAATTGAAGCATTTTTTTTTTCTTTTCGCTTTAGCATGTATACCGTTCATCTAAGTGTTATTAGCATTGAACATTTGGTTTTATGTAGTGTTTTTTTTTCTTTTTTTAAAGTTTGCTTGCTAGTTTTCCCGTTTAGAGAAAGGAATAATTATAATATCAGTTAAGTTAAAAACATATAATTGTATTGCATTGTAATTCTATTATGAAAGATTTTCAACACAGAAATTTATATCCTATTAGAAATCTCAGCCTCGGGTTTATTCTTATGACATTTTTAAAATTTCGCAGATTTCAGCCTCGATATTCTTATAAAATATATTGTTTTAGTGTATTTCATTGATGATTATCGAAAATAGAGCGCTATTATTGGCTAGGAGCTTCGCTTTATCCCGCTATAATCACCGCGCAGTGATTACGGCATTGAAGGCGAGCAGTTTTCAAAATGGCAGCCAGATTTGTTGATATTTCGGAGTCGGAAATTGATCAATAATTTTATCTTCTCGAATAATCATCAATGTAATTATACTAAAACAATTAGTCGCCTCAGGCGACGTGAATATCGGTGAATAGTCACCGCGACTTCGCACTTCATCGACTTATTCTTGGCTCGATGAATAAACAGTCGTAAAATTGGATTAGTCTGGTGATTTCTCAGTTCACGTTTTATGTATATGTTGAAGTTAATTTTTTATTTCAGTTAATTTTTATTTTTCCATTGTTTTTGGGTATGGTAATATATGCTAATGAATTTAAAACAAAGGAAAAAAATAACTGAAATAAAAAATTAACTAGAACATATATTTATAGTATTTAAATCAAATCTTTCAGTTGTTTTAACTAGAGTATTTTTCCTCAGACCGAATTTAAAAGCCCCGCCCCAAGTGACTGAATTCGTAAAGTCCATTGGACGATACCCCTACTGAATATTGATAAGTTTTAAACGAGGTTTCACATTATTGAAAAGCATGATAAAGGGGTAAAGTTGCTAATCTAATTTTATGATTTTTATGACGTTCTCATTCCTGTGGTGGCTCTCTATTGTAAAAGCTCCTAATGTAGAAAAAGCAACAACAACAACAACAACGTGACTTGCGCACCATACGAATACATTACTAACTGAAGACGCATTTATCTTCGTTTGGCGTTTTTGGAAAAAGGTCATAAAACAAATTGGAACAGAATTAATAAACAAGGGTAAAGGGAAGGAAGAGCGAAATAAAATACACTGTAAGGGAAAGGAAAGCGGATGTAGCAAACTGAATTTATTTCAAAGGTTACTGTGAATGAATATTAAATAAAATCCAAACACAAGATACTAAAACAAATAGATACTAACAAAGATAAAAAGATACTAACTAGCAAATTAAGATTTAGGGGAACTTTCTCTGAGGATCTATATTTTCAAACTTTTCGTTAAACAACAGCTGGGTCTCGACGGTTAAAGTTGACCGCATTCGCAGTTAATCGGCAAAATTAGACAAATCAATTCTCCGGATTGAAAGTAATAGTGAATATATCGTGAATGATGTAATGGTTCGCTCGTGATCAATGTGATGCACTCGCCTTAACATGGCGGAAACAAGTTCAAAGTTTTCCTCTTCTATTGAGAACCTTATTGAGTCACAAATATTTCATATATTGAAAAATTATTGAATGAAGCTGAGTATGATGTGAGGAATTATGCAGATCGAGGAGGAGCATGCCATCGATTGGGTACTGCCTACATCGACCTCCAAGTATGGTAACCATGTGCCGGTTTTGAGGATTTAGCGGCGGGACAGACAATCAGAAACAATAAAATATTGAATAGATAATATTGAAAGCTTCACCAGAATGTTTGTACTGTAGGTTAAAAGTAAAGTGCTCTTCATTTAGTTTAAAAAATGGGTCAATTCATGAAAATAGAAAGTGACTAAGTTGGGATCGCGAAAATTACATGTTTGCCTAAAAGTGACTAAGATGGCTTCAGCAATCTATAATTGGTTACAGAATAGACTATAAGGGCATAACGGCTCTGAGAGGCCAGCGGCACATACCCAGCAAAAATCTACTTAAATATTCCCCCCCCGGAATAATGCACCTCCAACGAGTGTAAATAAGGGTTTAGTGAATGGACATCTCCCCGTAATATTCGGCGAATTATCACCTGTTGGTATATAGCAACTTCTGCCATCTCCGAAGTAAGGACTGTTACATGTACAGCTAAAGGATCCCGCTGTGTTTGTACATGAAGCAAGTGAACTGTGGCAGTTGTGGGTACCGCTGGTGCACTCGTCAATATCTATAAAAAAAAGGGAACAATAAAAGTATGTGTAATCATAACCTGTATAACCGTTTTCTTTGCAAAGACGAAACAAGTTAAAACAGAATTAAGACGGAATCCATCAGGAAATTGAATAATTTTATTTTTCAATATAATTTTACAATATCGCCTTCTTTTTGACATATTTCAAGGGCTATAGATGTAATTATTGGTTATCTGTAATACATGTAACACCAAAGAAAATTTCTTATGAGAGCCAGAGATAATATATGTCAAATTTCACAAAAAGACATCTTACACATGAAATTTTCAGAATTTTACCCGTGTTTTCACAACTGTTGTGAAATTTGACATTTTATTTTCTCGGGTTCCCATGAGAAATAGTCTTTGGAGTTATTTCAGATAACTAATTACAATGTATAACTATTAATAGCCCTTGAAAATAGTAAAAAAAAAGAATGCAATATCGTTTAAATTATTCTGTTGCAAGGGTTTGGTCCCCTGAAAATTGAAATTACCCCGTTTCCTGAAGGATTCTTAATTATTTCATGCTCAAGATAGAAAAAAAAAATAAAATAAAAGTTGGTCGCGGGTTTAAACAATCGATTTTGTTGCACTTATTTGACAAAAAACAATTGCATTTACGCACGTCTAACGACTTTGCGCATCTCGCCGAACTGGCCCCTTTTGTTCAAAAGATAGATAACCCTATCCACTCGACAAATCTCTATCCAGTGGATAGCGCAGTTGATCCCTAATATTTATCTACTGAACCACACAGGCTGTGATTTATCCATTTGATGGCACCATATCCAGCTTTTGTACAACTGGCGCCTGTACTTTATTTTTATTAATTGCTTGTCTGTTCGCTTACTCCAACCGGTCATTTTTACTGTAATTTTTTCCCATCTAACCAAAAACTTTATTGGAAGGGCAAGAAGAGTACAAATAAAAACAAACATATCAAACAAACGTTTTACATTAGACTTAAACGGCTCACCAGTGCAGGTGTTTCCATCGCCTGTAAATCCTGCTTTACATGCGCATGCGTAAGATCCCACATTATTGCTACACACAGCATTAACGTCACAGCTGTGAGAGTTGGTAGAACACTCGTCGATATCTAGGGAAAAAAAAAGAGGATCGAAACCTTCTCGTAAGTCATGCACTGGATCCTGTCATCAGTAAGGTCATATATTCTTGTTTGCGCTGTGTTATTAATCCCACTTAACTACAAATGCCTTCTAGCAAAATATTAAGAGTGAGACATAACATGGAATAAAAAAACAGGGAGTATTCCTTGCTTAAATGCATAACGAGCCAAAGCGATTTTCATAACATATAATACGGGCAATGTGCTCCTACTAGCTCAGTTGCAATACCATTAAATATTTTTCGTTAAAAGTGACCCCGGCTGAGGCAATCATACTTATTTATATTTAGTTGTTTTCTGCAACTTCTTTTGAGCTTGTTTTGTTTTGGTTTTACTTGAATTGAAATTTTAGATCATTTATGTCATGACCATCTTTTTTTCTTTTTCTTTTTTCTTAACATTTTTTCATGTACTGAGCGAATATAGCAAATAGAGGGGCATAGAATCACATTTACATCGTCCTGAAAGTCAATTTTGACATTGCCACAGCAGCTTACCGGAGCAAGTTTTTCCATCGCCTGTAAATCCTGCTTTACACGCGCATGCGTACGATCCAGCCGTATTGCTACACACCGCATTGACGTCACAACTGTGAGAGTTGGTAGAACACTCGTCGATATCTGCAGGAGAACGAGTAAATTGCTTAGAGCGTTAGAATCACTTATATCATATCTATCGGATAGTCGATAAGGTCGTGTATTTATTTGTTTGTTTGTTTTTCTTTTTTAACAAAATCTGGTTTTAGGCTTTTTACCAAACACGACATGCACTAACGACATGACAGTGTTGAGCTTGTCTTCTCTTCAATTATTACCGTCGATCCTCCCTTAGCGAACACCCAAAATACGAATATTTAGTGATCACTTACTAGAGATGGTCGCTTGCGAGAATTGGACAGCAGGTGTCTTTTCCGAGTATTCAGATCCCGAAATTTTCTATTTTTTTGTTATTTTTTTTATTTTCTACTAACTTATTGTACGAAATTCAAAAGTTATGATATTTGTTATTCTATCGCCACTTATGGGAAGAGAGGTAGTCTCACATGAAGGTTTGACGGTGTGTTAAATACCATTGCAAGGCTTTCCATCTCCTGTGTAGCCGGAATTACACGAGCATGTGTATGAACCCACGGTATTCTGACATACGGAATTGACGTCACAAGAATGGGAACCAGTGGTACATTCATCCAAGTCTAAAACAGAAAGCACGAAGAGACTCTTGTAGAAACGAAATGACTTTTTTAGTCAATGAAGCTTTTTTAAAAAGTACTGTTTTAAATAATGTAGGGTATTTGGGTAATTAACGTGCACTAGCATTAGGTAAAATAAAATGTGTGAAGGAAGGAACATGCGAAAAAGGTTCGTAAGTTAGCCCTGAACTCATATTCGCTAACTATATATTTGCAAAATAGTGTCTTGAAAAGTAGATAGACGTCAGCACGACTTTTCCCGTCGTTCCAGTGAAAAATATCCGCCGAACGCCAATAGTCTAGTCATTCTACGAGAAAAAAAGACCGAACCTTGAAGTAATTGCAACAGAATTTATTTTTGCCGGAAGTTATTCTACTGATGCCTATAAATAACATGTCAAAAGTCTACCAAACGTTTCGAAGGATAAAATGATGAAATTACAGTTTTATGATTGCATTCTTTTTCTAAATTCAAAATGGCTGCCGCGCAATTTATTCAAAATATATGCGTAAATTTTTACAGCAAACAGCTAAAAACAATAGGCGTAATTGGAAAACAAAATGCGTGCACGTGTTTAAATGTAAAGATTTGAACAACTTTTTGATCACATCGTAGAAATTTTATTTCGAGAACTGGAAAGCAACAGTTTTCCTTGAATTAGTTCTCTATCAATAAGTATATATGTGTATCAGTGACTCTAAAGACTCTCGATTGTTTGGTTTGGAAAATTCTTGCTCCGTACAACTGCTCTGGACGATTCTCTGGCCTTCAAACTAACAAAGTTCTTCGCTTCACAAGACATTTATTTAGACGAGTATTGGTAGAAACGCATTGTTGGACGTCCAGAGTGGTACTTTAGTGAAAAATGTCGTGTGAAGGTAAAGTATAGATGGTTAAAGAAGTGGTTTATCGTCCGGTTAACATCACACGATGGAGTATTGTGTAATTTGCAAGGAATTATCAACCAATGGCCTCGAAACAGTGGAACTTAGGCAAAAAGGAAGCGATGGCATCAACAATGCAAGTAAACTACGTGGCGACACACTCCAAACTTTTGCAGGACAGCGTGTACATCAAAAATGCAGGCAGAAATACTGTCATGTAAAGGTTATTCGTTCCTACATAAAGAAACATACGGCTGATGAAGAAACATCCTCTGCGTTCCAGTGAACCAACATTTGATTTTGGTGAACGATGTTTATTTTGCAGCCAGCCTGCTAAACTTACGGGAAACAAAAGAGGACATGATGTTTTTCCTGTTAGAACATTAGATTTTCAAACCACATTAAACCGAATTTGTGAGGAGCGAAGAGACGGTTGGGCTGAGAAAGTGCATGGCAGAATATCTTTTTCCCAAGATCTCATTGCAGCAGGTGCAATTTATCACCAAGTTTGCAGTACCAATTTTCGGACAGGGAAGCAAGTACCGCTTTCTCATCAAACTAACGGAAGCAAACGACAAAAGAAAGGCAGGCCAACTGATAAGTCTAGGCAAGAGGCATTCTTGGAGGTTGCAAAATATCTTAAGGAAAACGATGACGAGCAGATAACTGTGAACGATCTTATGAATAAGATGGCAGAATTCAACGACCAAGAACCTTACAGCGCACGGTATATGAAAGAAAAACTTAAAGAGCATTTTGGAGAAAACATCGTTATTGCTAGTATCAATGGTAAGGCTGATGTCGTAACATTTAGGAGTACAGCTTCGACCATCTTGCAAAATTTTTATGACGCTTCTAGAGATGCTGACCCTGAAGCCGATAAAATCAGAGTGATTAAGGCAGCTGCTGATCTCATAAAAACGGACATCAAAAGTAAGGACATCTCTAAAAGTGTTTATCCATTACCAGGAGAGATTTCGTCTTTGGATGAAAACTGCGCTTTTCTACCTGAAATGTTGTATTTGTTTCTGAGAACAATATTTAACGAAAAGAGTGCAGAGCGAAAGATTGCTTCCATAGGGCAAGCCATTATTCAAGCCGCTCGGCCCAGGGTTCTGATAGCTCCTCTTCAAATCGGCCTGGCAGTCCAAATGCACCACCATTATGGATCCAAATTTTTAATTGATTCCTTGAATAGTCATGGGTTTTGCTCCTCTTACACTGAAGTTAAGAAATCTGAAATGAGTGCGGCGCAAACAAAAGGCACAGATATTCCTGGTTTAACCCCTGGTCACTTTGTATAATATGTAGCAGATAATGTAGACCACAATGTCTGTACGTTGGACGGACAGAACACTTTTCATGGTATGGGGATAATAGCTGCTGTTACTC